AAGGCCGGTTGCCTGCAGGTCTTGCCCAGGATCCTTAGACCCTACCCTGGGGGATTGGGCTCCTGGATCCCACTGTACTTCCGTCTCTTCCCTCCATACCACGCAGCCTTTGAAGAGCCATGAGCTAAAGAGCAGGCAGCCCAGGTGCTGCTTAGGGTTCAAGGTCCCCTACACACAGGGATGCCTCCCTTCCTTTCTCTTTCCCAAACTCTCCCCATCTCCCTGGCGTTGCTACGGTGACCCTTTCCTGAGAAACAGTATGCAAAATGGAAAGGTCTTTTAGGAATCTCAAAGACCAAATTCAAATCTCAGGTCCACCTTTACTTGGGCGAGCCACTTAACCTGGCTCAACCTGGATTTCCTGGCCTGGAAAACCCCCTTCACCCTGTGCCAGAAGCAAGCCCACGAGGAACCCGATGTGAAATCACTGTCAGAAGGTGCCTGTGAGTCAGGTTTCATGGATGGCAGAACAGCTACCTCACTGTGAACTACTGAGAAGCTAGCCCTTGACACAAGCAGCTGCCTCTCGCCAGCAGAACAGGCTGATGATGGCAATACCTACCTCTTAGGGCCGCCGAGGGGAGCGAATGCACCGTGCACCAGACACTCTGGAAGACCCTCGCAGAGCATGCCCAGTGCCACAGCATTGTCATCCCCAGAACAAGAGGGGCAGAGGGTAGGCAGAGCAAGGAGCCCACATCATGTCTAGGAGGGGCACCTGGTCGCCAAAGGACAAATGGGTTCAGGACCACGGTGGGACGTGCAGGACAGGGCTGGTCACTGCTGTTCCCACCTAGCCCAGTGCCAGGCAGGTGACATCCCTGGGACCCAACAAATGTGTGCTAGACTCATGCATGAAAGAGCAGAGACCCAAGTCAGCCCAGTGCATCTCACCCCTGCCTCCAAGTCCACTTTTATCACAGACCTCTACTCCCTATCCCAGAAATTAGGTCCTCTTTTTTTTTTTTTAAAGATTTGTTTATTTATGCATATAGAACAGGATAAAGGCCAGAGGTGCAGGGGTGTGAGAGGATTCACCAGAGACAGAGTGGGGAGCAGAACAGGCAGATGGACGAAGTACACTGCTGAGGGGAGCAGCGGGCAGGTCAGGAGAGGTCTGCCGTGCCATATGGTCACCTCCGGGGCCGGGGATCGAACTCACATTGCAGCAGCTGTGGCCAGCTTACAGGACTGCGTCCTAACCCATTGTACCACCAGGGAGGGCCCAAATTAGGACCTCTTAATCTGAGGCCCATGGATCCCCTCCAAATGAGATGTGGAATATAATGTGTGTTTGAAGGAAAGAGTGTTCGTGTCTGCCCAGAAGAGCTTTAAAGGGCAGAGAGCTACCCGTCGCTTCTGGAATGCCTGTCAGTTGCATCTCTGTGCCCAACCCACCCTCCCCCACATGCCCTGTGACAGGTACCCCGTGAATTTAAAAAAAAAAACAGCCTCCCCCTTTGTCTCTGGGAGGTGCTTCCAAGGAGGCCATGTCAGCCTGCTCTTTTTCTTCCGCCCCCAGAGAGTGCAAGTGGGTCAACCTGCATCTTTCAGGCAAAATGACAATTCGCCTCTTCAGGGGGTTTGTCTGCTGGGTGGCTGCTCTGTCCCAGCCCTGCACATTCCCTAAGTCTCTATTGATGTGTCAGGTAGGAGTTGGGCCAGGAACCCCAGAAATTAACAAAGCCTTATGGCATCTGAACTCAAAAAATATTCTATTTTTAGTGTTCTTTTCTCATACAGATACCTGTCTATGTATACATACATGTGTATGTGTATGCGCACATGTACATGTGTTTAATGGAGGAAATTTAGAGTAGGTAAACGATGAAAAAAATTACCTCCAATCTCACCCCCTCCAAAGAACTGTTATTGTCACCTGGCTTCTAGTCTCTCACAGTCAGAGCATTTCCTGAGCACTTGCTCTGTGCCTGGCTGTCCCTGTGCGGCACCCTCCACACTCCCCCTGTCACCTTAGCCTCTCACCTTACATTGGGCATTCCCCACCTTTTCTGAAGCACAGTTATACTTCTTAGTTGTTTTTTTTTTATATATATAATTTATTATAGTGTATAGAACTCCAAGTTTTTTTGTTTTGGGGTTTTTTTTTTCTTTGCAACAGAGCTGAGGTACAGGCCAGAGGCTCAGGGGCTGTTAGAGGCTTCACCAGAGACAGAGTGGGGAGCAGAACATGCTGACTGACAAAGTACCAAAGTACACTGCCGAGGGGAGCAGCAGGCAGGTCAGGAGAGGTCTGCCGTGCCATGGGGATCACCTCCGGGGTGGGGATCGAACTCACACTGAAGCAGCTGTGGCCAGCTTGCAGTGCTGTGTCCTAACTCATTGCACCACCAGGGAGGGCCCTATGCTTTCTTAGTTTTTAACACCAAGGGGATCACATTGTTGGGTAACCTTGCCTTTCTCACTCCATACCATCGAAATTTCTTTCCATGGAATTAAATATTCATCTATAGACTATGACAGCAGCACAGTGGTTCTATTGCAGACAGGCCCCATGCTTCCCACACTGGGGCTCATGTATACACCTGAGGGCAAAGACACAGGATAAATGGAGCCTATTTTCCTGAAGCATAAATTCGATTTGAAGTTTTAGTAGGGAGAAAAAGTTATTATTTTAATATCAAAACAAGTACAGATGCACCTTCCCATAGAAACAGCACACGTATGAAGTTCAAGTAAGATCCAAGATGGTGTGAGCGTGCTGTCATTTTCCAGGAGCCCGTGTCCCCTCTGCACTGAGGGTGGCAGAAACATCTAAAAACCACTGAGTCTGGTTCAAGACCCTCTTTTTTACAGATAAGGAAACCGAGGCTCCCTGTGTGTGCAATGCAGTCACGCCAGCAGCCCCCAGGCCCGCGCATCACCCAGGAACTGCTTTTTCCAAGGGTGAATGTGGAGACCTCGCCGCTTGAGTAATCAGCCCTCTCCTCGATAGTGGAAGCTTCTAACCTCCTACATGGTCTTTAACGGCGGCTTTTCCTTTCCTATCTTGCTGCCTGGGACCTGAGCTCAGTCCCTGTGGCTGGGACTCTGGGCAAAGGAACACTCCCCCTTAGACTCCAACCACACTTGCTGCACTGCTTTGTAAACAGGTATCCACTGGTCTGTTTTACCCATCAGGAATGGCAGTTATGTGTTGTTGTTAGTACCTGGCATTTACAAGCACCTACTAGATGCAGGCACCATGCCGGTGTTTCAGCTGTAGTATCTACAGTCCTTAATCACAGCCTTTCAACGTATGTGTGATTGTCCCCATTTGTCTGAAAACCGAGGAAAGGATTATCCCTTGCCCATCATCATTCACTCATTTAATAGTCATTGCAAATCTCCTCTCAGGCTTGTGCCGTGAACGGTCATGATGCACCAAACTGATACCGCTCCTGCTCTCAGGTAAGAGGGATGATATACTACGAGGGGTCTTACAACCCCTGCTAAGTATAATGGAGCCCAGAGCCCAGCCAACCACCCAGGTGTGTTCAAAGCCACCTCAGCCACCTACTAGCTCGCTGACTTAGGCACCTCATCGGTCTGCACCTCATCTTCCTCGTCTGTAAAATGAGAATAACAAGTAGAGCTGATTTCACAGGGTACTATGAAAACTGAATAAGTGACGTATGTTAATCACTCAAAACTAGACTTCCGGGTGCTGCTGGTATGAAGGCAACGTTAGGGGGTTCGTACCAGGTAACAAGGCAGGACTTACTTCAGGCGTCTTCTGATTGAGTTCTGCAAGATGAATAGGCGTTAACTTGGCAAAATGGGAGGGGGGAAGCTGGGTGTTGGAGGGGTCTTCCAGCAGCGGAAATAGCAAGTGCTGAGCACCTTGGGGGGGGGGGCGGTGCAGGGAGAGCACAGTCAGCATCCAGGAAGGAGGAGCTTGCCATAGAGATGCAACCTGGCTCTCTGCAGCACTGTGGACGCAGGCCATGGGAGACACAGGAAATGCCAAGAGGGCATGACCAGTGCATGGACACACAAGTCAGTGGACAGACATGATTTTGACTGGGGGGGGGGGGGGTCCCATGTCGCCCAACCAGAAAAGGAGGCCATTGTCACACATACACGAGATGTGCACAGCCCCACCACCACTTTCAGGTACTACGTGTCCACATTGCTGCCCTCTTTCTTCTTGGCACTACACTGAGCCCTGCAGGCTTGGATGGGGAACGCCATCGCCCCGGACTCACCCTGGTGGCTGCTGCAAGAATCGTCCTCGACCTCAAACCTAAACAGTGGTGTTCAGACATTTTTTGTAGCGGAATCAAGCCTGTGATTGTGTGTTGTGGAGTCTGTTATTTAAGAAATAATAATAAAGGAAACCTAGTATATAAAAGAGAACAACCACAAACCTCCAGGTTAAGGTGCAGGCGTAGGGACCTTCTCGTGCCCATACCCGGAGCACCTGAGATAATGTTAGGGCTCTGAAATGTACCTAGAAACCAAGGGCACAGCCCAACCCCCATTTTCCAGGTGTGGAAACTGAGGCCCAGTGAGGGAGTGACTTGTGCGGTCTTGAGGTGGAGGAGAGACAGGTGGCTTTCATCTTGTCCAGCCCCCGTCTGGGTGCAGAGTACAAAAAACAAAAACCTGGAGGGCAGGCGTGGGTGGGTTGTTCAGGGGCACGGCCCGGTTATGCCTTCCCCCCCCCCCTTTTAATTGAGTTTGAGGTGGTTATTTTTTTGTTTCCTTAAGAAATGGAAAAGAATGAAGCTGCGTAAACACAACGATGTTAACTCCCTGAAAAACCTCCTGCCATTTTAACTCTGTTACTGGAGAAATAAAAGAGAAATAATTTGTCCACCCACACTTAGCTCTTTCTGACGAAGGTAGGTGAATATTGCTTTGCTAATCGAGGGTGACTGCTGGAAGTGGAGCCACGCTGACTGATCCCGGATTGAGAGGAAGCCACAGCAGCCCCAGAAGGAGCAGTGCCGTGGGGCTGCAGGGCCCCGTTGTCAGCCCTCGTCTGCCTTCCACAGGTCTCCCCCAGCCGGTAGTGATGGAGGCGCTGGACAAGGCCAAAGGGCTATCGGACTCTCAGAGAGAGATGCCACCGCCCCCACCTCCTTCACCGCCCTCAGAGCCAGCTCAGAAGCCACCACCTCAAGGCGCCAGGAGCCACTCCCTCCCTGTCAGGAGCAGCCTGTGCCTCTTGGCTGCCTCTCAGTTTCTGGTAAGGACATCACGGGCCTCACGAGGGCCTGGAGAGAGGGTGGGTTGAGGGACAGCCCTCCACTTCCTCCCCAAGATGGCCACTTGGGGGTACAAAGATGTGAGGGTCTTTCTGGGTGTCCCACAGGTGCTTAACCCCTCAGACTGGTATGAAGAGAAGGCTACAGAACACAGGGCCCCCCAACCTCCTCCCTATCCAGGGGTCTGTCTGAGAACTTCCTGTCTATAAAGCCAATTCTAAGAGACTTCCCTTTTTATGTGTGTATATATATGTGTATATATATATATTTGGGGGTCCCTTTGGGAAGGCCTTCTCATGGCTCCCTTCAGTCAGCTTCTTTCCAGGGAGAGTCCTGAGGCCTTGTCTGGCCACTCAGAACCTGGGCCCTTCCCTCAGCTGTGCACTCTGACCTTGGGGGACCAGGTCAAGGTAGGAGGTGAACTCCACAGGGGGAATATGGGAACCAGGAGCCCAGACTCCAAACTCAGTCCCTGCCCCTGGCTGCCTCAGCTTGCCTTCGGGGTGCTCTGGTACAGCGGCTATGGCCCCAGCTGGTCGCAGAATGCCACAGACCTCGTCTCCTCCTTGCTTACACTCCCCACACAGCTTGGACCCATGGTAAGTAAGCCCCAGGGAGCCCCCGGGTAGGAGGGAGCGGCTGGGGGGCCTCCCATCCCACCAACCCCTGAGTATCTCTGTATTCAGTAGATACTTCCACACTCCTGAAGCTCCTCTCCCTGCTCCTCACCCCAAACCTGTTTTACCCCTGTTGAAACAGATGAGAACCATGCCCCCACCAAAGCCCTGACCTGTCTGTCTGATGTCCCCAGGCCTGGCTGGGCGTGGGATCCTGGGAAGTCTGCCAGCTGCTGCTGGTCTCTCTGACAGTAGTCCTCGTTACCACCTTGGTAAGGCCCCTCCTGATGCAGCCAGTGTCCTCTACCCCGAGGCTTCGACCTCACGGCCTCCCATCTGACCTGCAGGCTAGACTTGCTGGGTAAACAGTGTGACTTCCCTGGAGGAAGAGACACTCTTTCTAGTCTGTAGCATCCTAGGCAGGGGAAAGGGACTGAGGCAGAAAGAAGACTGGTGTAGGAACCCCAGCCTCACTTAGAAGGCCCCATCCACAAGAGACTGAGGGTCGGGGGAGGGCAGGATGGGGGTGGCATCTCCCCTCCGGCTGCAGAGCTATGCCTGGCAGACAGTTCCAGGAAAGCAGAGCTGCTCTAGACACAGCAAGATCAGAGGACTCTTACCCATGGCCCCCCATCACCAGGGGCATGGTTCCAGATCCGTGATGCCATGTGCCCCCAACTAGGTGTGGCACCTGCTGCGGGCTTCCCCAGAGCCACCCACCCCACTGCCCCCTGAGGACAGGCGCCAGTCGGTGAGCCGTCAGCCCTCCTTCACCTACTCAGAATGGATGGAGGAGAAGGTCGAGGATGACTTCCTGGACCTGGACCCGGTCCCCGAGACTCCTGTGTTTGACTGCGTGATGGACATCAAGCCTGAGGCAGACCCTGCCTCGCTGACTGTCAAAGCCATGGGTCTACAGGAGAGGTGGGAAGCGTGGAGGAGGGGCGGGCGCTATGCACCCTTGAGCTCTCAGCGGCCATCAGAAGGGTGCATCTCCGGCTCTGACTCCCAGGGCCCAAGACAGGGCTGTCCTCATAGCTTAGCCAGTCTGGACGCCTGCAGTTCAGGCCTCATTCACATAGCTCGGAGAATGCTAAATTCACATAGCAGGGTGGATGCTGAGCAGCACTGCTTGTGCGAAGGGGCACAGACACACAGGCGTGTATGTGTGCACACTCACACTCGCACTCGCGCTCAAGTCCATTTGGGTGGGTGGCTACCGCGAGGCTTGTCAGGGCCTGTGACAGCTTGTATTCATTATAAATAGCAAGGGGCAGCAGGTGGCACCCCTCAAAATCCATTCACCACAGCACCCTACTTTGGGAGTGTTTCTTCGTACTGTGCAGAGCGCTCTGTAGGAGATGTAGCTCCCTTTTCCAGAGCCTGGCTGGGTACGCCAGAGCACGCCAGGTTCGCGTTAGCCCCCACATGTCATGCAGGAGGCCTGCAGCAGGAATCAGCTTTGCCACTCCCTCACATGGATGCTGGACAGTTCTTGCCCCTCCTCTGACTTCCAGGGCCCAAAGGACTCATTTCTCTTTCTATATACCAGCAGCCTTTCTGGTTCTGTGCCTTTAAATACCTGACACCACAGACTTTGTGCAGGGTAGACATCCTCGCCACCCTGCTGCCCCTGGAGCCCCCATTTCCCTGACCTTTCCAGGGTGAAGTGTCCTCACTGGCAGACACAATCCAGTCTTCCAGGCTCGGGACCATGACACCAAGGGCAAGCCCTGATGCTTTGTTTGAGGCCAATGTCCTCTCACTGGGAACTCGCTGGGGACCACAGAGGTTGTCCTGAGTGGAACCCTCGGAACCGGGACCCTAAGCCCCCACTCTGCTACTCTGCTGCAGGAGGCAGGAGACAGCCCTAAGCCCAAGGGCTGGGACTCATTCTCCTTATGTTGGGGTACTTCCTGCTAGACCCCACCCTTTCCCACCCCAATCTCACCGTCCCTCATCTTCCTGCTCCAAGACCTTCAGCTGATGCTTCCCCTGCCCCTGCCCCCGGCCCTTCCAGGAGGGGCTCCAACGTCTCCCTGACCCTGGACATGTGCACCCCCGGCTGCAACGAGGAGGTCTTTGGCTATCTCATGTCCCCACGGGAGGAGTCGGCCCGCGAGTATCTGCTCAGCGCCTCCCGCGTCCTCCAGGCTGAGGAGCTTCACGAGAAGGCGCTGGACCCCTTCCTGCTGCAGGCAGAATTCTTCGTAAGTCCCCCTGAGCTGACCATCCCAGGATGGGGGGACCCTTCTCTGCACATCGGTCCTCCTCCCTGTGGGGTGGTGGAGCAGAGTGCCCAGAACCCCGCCCTGATAGACTATAGACTACCATCGTTTCGTTCCCAAGCTGCTTCCTTTCTGGGCTTCTGCGTCCTCACTTGGAAAGTGGAGCGGAAATAATAGGGATGTTCCAAGAATTAAAGAGCTAGATAAGACCCCCACCCCGCCCCCATGACCGGGGGACTGCAACATCCCTAAGTCTTTCTTGTGCTTGAAAAACCTTCTTGTTGGTTCTGTTCTTCCCCACCCTCCTCCTGTCCAACACCCTCACACACTATTTGTCCCCCTTTGCAATCTCTCCAGTCACCTCCCCTCCTTTGCACCCCTGTGACTCAGCCTACCATCCTGGTCCCCTCCCTACACTTTTGCAATGGCCTACAACTGCCTTTGAGGGGCCTAATAAACAACACCCCCATTCTATCTGCCTAAGCACTCAACTAGACCGAGTTAGGACATGGAGATCCCAAAATCACCTTTATTTTGTGGCTAACGGTTAGGTTAGAAGTGAGACTTTGGTATGCAGTGATAGGTTTCCCAATACCAGTTCTGCAAATTAGCAAACTTTCCACCTACCCAGGCAGTGCTGGCACAGTAGAGGCCCTGTCCTGGGTCGAGGGTACCTCTTTAATTCTTTCTCACAGAAGAACCTCAAGAGGAGGGTTGGCTCCCCAGTCAAATTCACTTGTCAGGAATCCTCCTACCTCTGTGAGCAGGAGTGGGCGAGAGGCCATGAGGATTTGGGGAGCATGCCTCCCTCACAACTTCCCTTCCCTCAGGCTGCCCTGACCCCTACCTGGACTGGTCAGATCTCCCCACTGAGAATACCTCCAGCATCCTCTAACCACTGCACCAAATTCTAGAGAACTTGAGCTGTGTGAGCAATCATCCCCACTCCCCAAGTCATGAAACCCTGGTCTCCTCCTCCAGCATTCTGCCCCCGTCTCTTGCAAGAAGTGTCCACTTCAAACTAGGCCAGCTCCCACCTTCCCTGTGCCTTTACTCACATCATCCCTCACACACACTGGATACTTCTAAAAAGCCCCCTCAGCTCCTTAGCTCCCAAGGCCATCACCCCCTTTGTCCTCAATGCCATTTTCTATCCAATAAATTGCTATGGATTGTACCCAGTCCTAGGGAAAGAAAGCAACCTGCACCCCACTCTGGGGTGTTTGTGCACCTGTTTCATTACAAGCCCTGAAGGCAAGCATTACAATTCTGTTTGACAAAGCTCATACTTAGCGCATGAGCACGTGGAAACATGTGGTCAGGTCCCAGACCACATGGGCAGAGGTACTGGGGAGCCAAGAAGCCAGAGGTACTGGGGATCCATCCCAGACAGTATGGGAGGACCTCCTGGACATGAAACTTAAAGGGTGGAACTATTTGGAGAGCTGGAGAAAGGTAAGACCAGCAGTGCTATGAGCAGAATGCCATGAGATCGGGCCAGGAGACAAGTGGACAATACAAGCCACAGCAGAAAGCCTGGCATAGTTGGAAGGCAGATATCTGAAGAACAGCTGGCAGTGAAGAAAAGCCTCAGAAGACCTCACATGCCAAGCAGAGAGGTCCTGTCTTGACCCAAAAAGCAATCAGGAGATGCAGATGCAGCTCTGGGAGCTCAAGGGGGCTCCTTTCCTGATAGCGAATCTGGGAAGGCTTCCCAGAGGAGGTGGCATCTTGGATGAACAGGTCATAGGAAGATGAGAATGGGATGAATGAGCTGACAGAACAAACCAAAGCCCTGAAGTGAGGATGTTCAGGGCTGGAACTCTAGTCAGCAAAGCCACCCAGTCTGCAGCAGGATCTGGTGAAGAAGGCTGCCAGGTCACTTTTCCTTTATTGTTCTTTGCTCATCAACCATTTATTGAATGTCTACTGCAATTCCAGGCTGGTCCTCAATATAAACGAAAGAAATAATATTTATCATGCACTCAGCATTGCCAGGCACTGTCCCAGATGCTCTGTGTGTGCATTATCTCCTTGATAGTAAATGCCTCTTGAATGCATGCATGCACTCAAGCCACCCCCGCACTAGAGCTTGGGGGCACAGCAGTCCCTGGGTTTGAATGTTCATGAAGGCCAGCACACAGCTTCTCACACCTGTGCCCCCCTCCCACAGGAAATCCCCATGAACTTTGTGGATCCGAAAGAATATGACATCCCTGGGCTGGTGCGGAAGAACCGATACAAAACCATCCTCCCCAGTGAGTATTTGCGCCGGGAGCAGGCAGGTTTACTCTCCAGGATCACAAGGAAAAGGGAGGTGCCAGTGCAGGGACTCACACACTAACGAGGGCAGCAGTGCCAAGCCAGGACACTCACATGTCAGGGACATCACCCTGGCCAAGTGTTACATTCTGGAAACTCAGGGTGGGGAGGGGAGGAAAGAGAGAGATCACAACAGCAACTTCTGGAAAATGTGCAGAATTGTATCCTGGAGAGTGGGCAAAGAAAGGAAGTTCAGGCTGGGAGAGATTAAATGGCTCACATGCAGTCACTCAGCTGGGAGGTTCAGGACTGGGTTTCCAGCCCCATGCTCTGTGACCCTAAAATTGATTGTTCAGTTGGATCAGGTTGTGATTGTTTCTCTCAGGCAGGGTCACCAGGGAATGAGCTGTATGGCAGGTGGTAAGAACCCATCACTGGGGGAGGGGGGCGGTGGAGGTCAGGCAAGGGTGCATCAGCATATCTGATAGGGGTCTTGCCCATCTAGGGGTAGTTAGACCAGGTGGCCCTGGGGTGTCATTTTTATTTCATCAAGCCCCTGTCTGCCTATCACCCAGGCCCAGTTCTGACCTCAGCCCCCCAGGGCTAGATTGGGGGTGAACTGGCTGAAAGTAAATCCCCACAAACCTACTTTGCTCAGTTTATGGAGTAACAAGGCTTTCAAAGAGCAGTTTTGCCATCAGCGTCTCCAACAACATGTAAGATGTCATGACTTATTTTTAACTTTTAAAATATCGACTTGTGGTTGCTATGGTTACACAGTCTCAAGGTAGTTCCGGTTAAACAAAGCACCATTTAAGGCCAAGATGCATTATTCAGGGCTGCTCACCTCGTCCCCCATATCAGCTCCAGCCCCGCATGGAGGGAGACTGGGTACCTCAGAACTTAAGGCTCTGTGGGGCTCTCAGAATGGCCACCGGGAAAGCTGAGTGCCGGGCTGTCGCCACCTGGTCTCCCCTGATGGCACAGAGGCCTGGAGCCACCTCCTGCCATGCCCTGAACCTCCAGCATGCCTCGCTCCCCAAGCCCAACACAGAACTACTCTGTGTCCAGCAAGAAGGGACCTCGAGGTCATGGGGAGCAGAGGACAAGTCAGGCTTGGCAATGGGCTCCTCTCGGATCCAGGACACGCTGAGGCTTGTGCTTATTCATTCAGCACATTTCCCGAACCCCTGGCCCAGTGACTGAGGATTCAGGCATGACTGAGACCCAGCCCACACACAGGGAAGGATATTCGTGGGCAGAGGCCTCAGTGGCCTCTCTAAGCCTCTGAGGCCTTTCTAAAGGTCCTGTTTGGGGGAAGAGACAAGAGAAAACTGATGTGAAAGTACCTTAGAGTGCAAAGGACTTTATAGACACAGGGCTGTTAAGGTTGGGGCTTGAGGTTTAGGGAGGATGAAGGGGGAAAGACAGCCACGTGTGACCCTGGGAACACAGACACGTGTGCACCAAGTTGCTTTTCCTGCAACGTATTTACTTGTCAAATCCCATAGTAACAGATCTCGCAACATCTTGTTCTTGCTGGAGTAGGATCTGTTTTGTTCCAGCTACTGCCTCTCTGTATCGACTGTTCTGTCTGGGACTGAGACAGGAGGCTGGTGGGCCGGGCGGGAAGCTGGCTGGGGCCTGGAGCCCCCATTCTGACCTAGCTTTGGGGCCAGCTCACTGGCTTCTCCCTGGGCCTCAGTTTGTCTCCTGCAGAAACTGAGAAGTGGGCACTTCCAGCATGCACAGCAGCGCCCCTAACAGCCCAGATCAAGCAGACGGTGCCTCTTCTGGCCAGACGCCAGGACCTTTGATGTTAAAGAAACTCCTTGGTGATCATGCTCAGTGAAATGAGCCAGAAGGAAAAAGAAAAGTATCAGATGTTTTCACTCATAGAGGAAATATAGGGAAAGTGGACAAAGGGTCAGAAAAAAAGGCAAAGCTTGCCGGCAAACTACAGATCTGAAGTATAGAGTGGGGGAGGGGAAGGGCTAAGCAGGGGAGAGGAGAGCCCAAGGGACTGTGGGGTGATGGTTCATGGGTGATATGGTGGTGAGAAAATTATGGGGACTACACCTGGGGAGAAATCAAACATTGTACAAAAATGAACAACAATGTAGAAAATAACAAAGTTGGAAAGAAAAAAAAAAAAAGAACCTCCATGGAATGGGAATCGCTCCACTGACCCTCTGAGGCTGTCCCTGTGCTGGACAGTAGGGCTCCTGCTCCTGGGTAAACAACAGGGTCCCTGCCTCTGAGTGCTGGGCTGGCAGGTAGTGTGGCCTGTGGGTACAGGGCTGGGTGAGGGAATAGAGGGACCCCTGGCTTGGCTGGGGCGGGAGAGGTGGCACTGGCTGTTTTGAGGGACTGCAGGGGGAGGGGCGAGATACCTGGCTCTTTTGTGGGATTCAAGTGCACAGGAGAAGGTGAGTCTGGTGAGAGGCAGGAGGGCTACAGGTTCACAGAGGATCTTAGAAGCCATGCTCACAGGGCTGGACTTCACCCTGAGGGTCACCGGCGGATGTCAGGAGAAAAGTGACACAATGGATTGTTCTGTATCATTTTGGTGGCAGTGATAGAAGGCTAGCGGGAGAGAACATGGAAGTCAGGACATCAGCTAGGAAGTGACCGCAGTGACCCAAGTAAGGGAGCCACAGGCAGAGGACCAGGGTGACCTGTGGAAGTGGTGGCCCCTGGGAATGGGCACCATGGAAGCCTTGATCCCCCCACCCGCAAATTGGACTGGGAGGATGGAGAGAGGGAGCCAGATTTGAAAGCTAGTCACCCATCTATTCAGGTGCGCGGCTCCTGTGTGCCAGGCCCAGTTTTGGTGGTGGGGACATGTGGTGAAAAACAGAATCTGCTCCCCTGCCTCCTGTCCTCGGTCTGTCTGGTCCATGTTATTCTACTAGGCCCAGAAAGGAGGCAATTTCAAGGGTCCCAGAAAAAATGTGGGTAGCCTGAAGTGAGCCATAGTTCCCAACCTCACCTGTCTCTCCCCACCCCAGACCCTCACAGCAGAGTGTGTCTGACCTCACCAGACCCTGACGACCCTCTGAGTTCCTACATCAACGCCAACTACATCCGGGTATGTAGCCCCATCCCAACTCTCCCTGAAAGGGAGGCCTGAATGATGGGGTTCATCTTCCAGCTTGTTGTTAAGCAGGATGGCTCCTTTGGCCCCCCCCGGGAACACCTGAGTGTGGGGGTGGGACCACTGGAGCACTGTCCGACGCTGACAGCCGGACTTGGCTGGCCACAGGGCTATGGTGGGGAGGAAAAGGTGTACATCGCCACTCAGGGACCCATCGTGAGCACAGTCGGCGACTTCTGGCGCATGGTGTGGCAGGAGCGCACACCCATCATCGTCATGATCACCAACATCGAAGAGATGAATGAGGTAGGCCCTCTGGTACCCCACCTGGCGGTGTCTGCTGCTCAGTAGCCTCCACTGAGCATCTGATTTTCATGTTAATCTCTGGGGCAACTTTGGGAGGCTGGGAACATCCTCTCCACCGCCAAGGTGAGGCTCAGGCTGCTCAGCTCACTTGCTTAGCACATGGGTAGCCAGGGACCCCTCAAGTGCCCATGATCTCAAACAGGATGCTGTGCTGTCTCCCAGCCTGCTGGGACTGGTGCTGCTACTTCCATACCCATAATAGCCTGTTGAATTGAATCCCTATTAAAAAAAAAAAAAAAA